AATATTGATATAATTTAAAGTTCCTGTGGAAAAAAACATTTAATATTCTAATATCTAGCATGCCTACCAAAGTTCATGATGAACAAAGTCTATCGTCTGATATACAATTCTGGTAAAAACCAATTAATCATTAAAAAAATTAAAAGAATATCTGGTCATCAGATGTCTCCTAGCTTGTATTGATTATGGTTGGTGTGCACACATCATTCAAAAGACGTTTACTTTTTATGATACCCAAAAATTCTCAAAGAATATGAAAAGAACTTTTCATACTTCTTTTGTTTTTAGCTTAATGAAGTATGGTTAAACAAAATTTAACTAAATTAATATAAATCAGTAACAGTGTATAATCTTCTGCTTACAATTAATTATTTATCATTATATATTAATTTTACTATTAACTGTATCAAAAATGAATTATCTTCTTTTAATAGACCCTGAAAGATGTTCGCACAATGTGTTCTACTGGTTCCTGTGCTGATTACCCATACCAACGCAAGTAAATATATTTATTATCTTATAAAAGATTGCAAAACATATTCCAAGATTTAAAAGAATAATTAGAAAAAAACATTAAAACAAAGATTTGTACCTGGGAAAAAAAAAAATTTTTTTATATGCTTGTATTTTTAGCTGCAAAAAATTTGCCGACTAATTTTACAGGGCAAAAAAAACCCCAGCGGGGCAAAAATTTACACCGTCAGGGTGTTAGCCAAGGATAATATTGCCCAGTTTATTCCGTCAGTAAGTTGCTTATAACGGATGTATAATTAAGCATATGCTTATAAACGACAAATGCATCAATGAAGATTTAGAATAACGCTGTCTCAACGCACACGTTTCCATTCCCGCGTGCAAGCCAATCATACCCCCAGAAATTTATCTGATTGTTTTTAAGATTAAGATATAAGATTGTCTTTTTAACATGTTAAGTTTTATTGTAGTGGTAACAAGCACCGCATGTACATCGAGTGGAGGTGAATGTGATTCTATTACCAATAGCAACTGTGATTCAGTCACGGGCTTATGTCAATGTAATACAGGGTATGAAGCGTTTCGTGGCATCTGTGTAGGTAAAAACACTTTTAAGAAATGAGGACGAATAACAATTTATTATGATTACAATGTCTGCTAAATGTATCAGCAATAAAATATGATTAACACTGACTACTTAAATATTTAAACTTTCTTTTTCGTACATTTTAAGTTTGGTGGGGAACATGTACAAGGGAGTGTTAAGGAAAAAACTAACAAACTATCTTAGTTGTGCTAGATGAATGTCTACTGTGGAAACTATTTGAAACTCACCTAGTGATCGATCAATTATTATGTTCTAGCATTTCTGGTTCTGTTACCAACAGCAATCCTAAAAAGCAGATGTAAATTTTTCAATTTCGCTGCTGTTAAATTTAATGAATGCATATACGAGTAGTATCAATTTTGTGCTTGAATCTAACATTGTGTAAGTAATATATCAATCCTGTTAAAACAGATTCCATAATAAATCTATTTCTAGTTTACAATTATGTTCAATTTCTTACCAGAATTTCGAAAAAAAAATGTAAAACAAAATGAAAACTAAAATAAATACTAGTATTGAGTGCCATCTTATTATCGCATTAGTTCCCAAATAATTATGAAAAATAATTAAATTCCAAGTCACGGCGGGGTGGGGATTATTTACAAAAAGTGCATAAGGGGCTTTTTGGGCATGTTTCCCATTTTTAAAAATCCAAAATTTTTTTACAATTTTCATGCTGTTTTAAAAATATGGAAAGGAAAACAAAAACATTTTTCAAAGGATGTAAGGGAAAAAGGGTATTGCACATATTTAAATTTCTTAAAACTACCAAAGGGTTTGAAAAAAATTTTTAATTTAAACAGATATATTTTTTAAGGGGGGATCAAATTCCCTTTTTTTAAAAACACAAGGGTTTTCTTCAAGTGGCCCCCGCTACAAATAAAATTTTCCCGGGGTTTTTAAGAATTTTTAAAAAAGAAAAGATTATTTTCGGTTAACTTTACAATTTTAAATTTTTCCCCGTTACATCCCATAATAACAAATATTAAAGATTATGTGGTCACCCTGACAAAAGCAAAAAAAAACAATAAAAAAAGAAGAACATAAAAAAATGTAACTGATGACATTCTAGAAAATTTGTTTTAAACGGAGAACAGACAGCTGCAAATAAAGGAACAAAGAACATCACAACATCATTATTATTCATAGAAATAATAAGTTCCAGTTAGAAAAAAAAACACCAAAAAACAAAAAAAGATGTGAAATATAACGGCGTTAAAAGTATAGTATTATACGTATCTCTTTAACGATAATAAGGATAATAAGTTGAACCAATTAACATTACAAAATGTGTTATGAATTAACAACTGGTAGTAACAATTCTTTTCTCTTTTTATTGGCTACATCTATATATTTTTCCTAAATTTACAAGTATAGCTTTATCATCTGATTGTAGACGAATGCGCTGCCATGACAGACAAGTGTGACTATACAAATGGCGGATGCACAAACACTGCAGGACCGTCTACTTGTTCATGTAACGCTGGATTTCATCTTGAGGCTGATGGTTTTACATGTACAGGTAATGAATGACAATGTTATTACCTTGAAAATATTTTTAAAATATGTTTCATCTTGCTTTATTTTTTATGATTTTATAGATTTAAAGCAAAATACATTTGAAATCATCAAGAATAAAGGGACCTTGTGAAACAAATGTGATTAATGCTTCCGAGGGATCATTTTGTTTTCAGATTATTATACTTCACAACAGCAGGTGTCAAGTGCTGTGTGGCAGCTGTAAAAGTTGCCCCGTACTTCACTTATGTGTTGTTATATTTTTCTGGTCCTTCGGGATCATTGATGCCAGCACTATTAAGTGTTGAGAATCGAGGTTGAGAATCGAGTACCGCTCGAGGGATGTTGCACTTATTCATTATCCCTCATGTACAGACTCAATCAAACCGAGTCTGCAATTCTTATGTAATTTTGTTGTTATTAATGCTTTCGATGGATAACTTTGTTTCCAGATTTTTTAACATAATTATGAACAAAAATGAGATTTGTCACGCTTCTGAACAGTTAAAACCTTTTCATCCTTGTATAACAAAAATAGAAACATTTCTATTTTTAATTTAGTACATGTATTACCTACTTAGTTATTACATATGCTTGAATACCATTGAGGTAACCATAGATATCATGGATGGGTGCAATATTTTTGTATCAGATTCTGACATTTAGACCAAAGTTCTATACAAGAATATATGTGTGCTAAAGTAATGCAACAACAATGTAGTATTCAGATACAGACGAATGCACTGCAAATACTGATAGTTATACATGAATATGAGAAAACGAGCTTAAGGCTTTTTCTTCAAGCTATGTTGAGTAATTACTATGCTATGTAATATCTACATTCCTTTGATAAGCGTAAAATGCAAAATGTTCAATATATATTTCCAAATTAAATCTACAATGTAAGTTAATTAAAGCTATAATGTAAGTAATAAGAAAGTAACACAATTCCAAATAAATTACCACATGTATGAGCTTCAACGGACTTGCATGACTGTATGGATCTTACAAAAGTAATTATATATTGTGACATGTAAAGTAATTATACTTTATTTAAGAGTTGTCCATATATGTACAAGGGTTGATCATCTCTTTAATAATCAGAGCCTTTAAAGCAAATGAACTTATTGTTTATGCACAGGTGTCTCAAGTGATGGTCGAGCTAACAATTATTTGCTGTTTTCAGATAAAGACGAATGTACTGCAAATACCGACAACTGTGACGACACAAATGGCGGATGCAGGAACACGGCAGGATCATTCACTTGTTCGTGTAACACTGGATTTAATCTTGGGGCTGATGGTTTTACTTGTACAGGTTGTGTAAAACAATGTATTTATAGAAAATGTTTTATTCAAAACATTTCATTTAACATAAATTAAAATTCAATTCTGCTAATGTTTGGCAAAATTGCCTCTTTTTCTAATAAAGAAATTAATCTTGAAATGATCAAGATTACAGGGACATAATGAAAGTAGAGTTCGCTAACATATTGAATAAGGCAAATTTCCATGTGTGTGAGCGTCACAAAAGTATTAACAAATACCAACAACCGTGACGATACAAATGGCGGATGCACAAACACTGCAGGATCATTTACTTGTTCGTGTAACACTGGATATGACGTTGAGGCTGATGGTTTTATATGTACATGTTATAAAAAAAATGTAGTTATATAAAATTTTTAATTAAAGAAGATTCATTTAACATAAATAATTATAAATTAATGCTTGGCAAAGTTGCTTTCTTTTTCTAAAAGAAATAATTTTATTTAGTTAATAGTGACATTTTGACAGTAGATTTTATTATCATATGAAATAAGGCAAATTTCCAGCAGTCTGACCATTCAAGAAAATAAACATATTTTATACTTGTTATAAAGAGATACATTCAAGTATACTCTACTAATGTTTAACTGCCCTCTACAGTAGTAATTATAGACATCACGGAGGTGAATAAATGATCATATGTACATGTATAATTTTTCTATTAGTTTCTGAAAATTTAGAACCGACTGTTTTACAAATATATACTAAATTTAGATATAGACGAGTGTACTGCAAATACGGACAACTGTGACGATACAAATGGCGGATGTACGAACACTGAAGGATCATTTACTTGTTCGTGTAACTCTGGATTTAACCTTGAGGCTGATGGTTTCACATGTACAGGTATTGCATGAACATGAGTGATTTATTTCTCAAAAGTTTTCTTGTGATATTAATATTCTATTTATTATCATAAATCTGAAACGCCAAAGGAAAAAGGTTAACTATCCAATTCCAGGATATATTGTAAGCAATTTGAAGGATTCTTACAAAATTTTAAAACATAATCAGCACAATTATGTACTTAGGCGAACATTGAAAACGGTTATTTATTTGTTGTCATTTAATGATGTGCGAATACTGCAGGATCGTTTACTTGTCGTGTAACACTGGATTAAACATTGAGGCTGATGGTTTTACATGTACAGGTATTATATAACAATGTAGATATTCAAAGTGTTTTATTAAAAAAGTTTCATCTAACATAAGCTTTCATTCTGTTACTGTTTGTAAGTTGCTCCTTTTTCTAATGAAAGAAACTAAACTTGGAATTCCCAATATTATAGACATTTTGAAAGTAGATAAAAAAGGCAAATTTCTGACCATTAAAAAATTAAAGTATTGTATATATGTTATAAAAACTTACATCATGGCCTCTACTGTAGTAATTATAAACATCACGGATATGAGAAAATAAACACAAGTTCATTCAGTTTCTGAAATTTTAGATCCGACTGTTTTACCATTATTTACTAAAATAGATATAGACGAGTGCACTGCAAATACTGACAACTGTGACGATACAAATGGCGGATGTACAAACACTGCAGGATCATTTACTTGTTCATGTTACACTGGATTTAACCTTGAGGCGGATGGTTTTACATGCACAGGTAAGTAACGAGCATGAACCTGCTTTCAAAATGTCAGTACTTTTTGATTAGGCAAAATGTATTGTACGTAATTGCAATCAAAAGTTAAACTTAAAAAGTATTTAGTTACGTGAAGCAGATTATGGCTATTGCTCTGTCCGCCAATTTTCCTTTTTTAACCGACTTATTTGTATCAATTCATTTAATACTGTAAATGAACATCAAAATGGGCAACTAACTTGAATTATTTTCGGTTTCGTTTTCAATTTCTTTCGACCGATTTCTAGAAATTATTTTTGCTAACAGCGTTACTGTTACTTGATGAATATTCTGGCAATATAGCGCAGGGTACCCAGTATTCTAAACATTAAAATAAGTATTGTCTTTTAAAATGCTTTGGCATATTTTTCCATAACACAAGATATTGTTTCAAGACCCGTCATAGTATTGTGAACAACAATCTCATAGTTTTAGACATTGAGAACAAAATATAAGAGATCCTTCGGTAATTGATGTATGTAAAGAAACATTCAATTTCCGATCTGAAACTTGTTTAAGACGATTTAATCTAAATAAAAGATGTGTTTCTATTGCAATTGGTATCGTAAACACTTGAAAACCGATCAAAGCTCCTAAAGCACTTAATACGATGGCTTTCATTATGCCAAAGAGTAAGATATAATAGCTTTAATACCGGTGAATAAATTCGATTTGTTAAGGGGTCATACATGTATATAATTAATGTCCTGTACATCTCTGCAGTAAAATCAAAATGCCACAAGAAATCCTAGATAGTTTAGATATACTGTAACGTCCATATGTAATACAATGCACAGTGATACATTTTTGAACTTAAGGTTAACATGTGCAGGTATCAAGCAAGGGACTAACCTAGAATTATATGTAATTAAATAATTTTCCTGTAAAGTCTCGCTCTTTTTAAATACGCAAGACCAATGCCATATTGCAAGTTTTTATTGGGGCGTTAGGGATGTTGCAGGTATTCATTATCCCTCATGTACAGACTCAATCAAACCGAGTCTGCAATTCTCTTGTAATTTTGTTGTGATTAATGCTTCCGAGGGATCACTTTGTTTTCAGATTTTTAAGTTAAGATCTCACTAATTAACAATCATTTTCTGTTTTCAGATATAGACGAATGCACTGCAAATACCGACAACTGTGACGATACAAATGGCGGATGCAAAAACACTGCTGGATCATTTACATGCTTGTGTAAAGCTGGGTATAAACTTGATGTGGATGGTTTTACGTGTATAGGTAAAATACCATGAGCCTTTCTAACAATCAGGCTGAGAAAAACATACATATATATGGATCAAAGAACGATAGATATGTTGATTTTCAAATAGTAATAAAATTTTGTTGCAAAGTACAGCCCTTAATTTGATAATAATCAAATAGCATTTTGGTTCACAAACATTGAATTGACTTCAAACATGATTTTGCCGTGTTGCCCATAGTTTTGGGACCTTACGCCGCTTTTCATGGAATGGCACAACTGTGTCACATTGAAGGTTCCATGATGACCGCCGTATGAACACATCTGCGGATGTTTCTAAATTCAAAGTTTTGCCATTTTCGGGTTTAAATGTTGAATTTCGTATAAGCCGGTGCTACGGGGCGTGGACGGTTACTTGCACTATCCAGTACCGTCCATTAACATACTCAATCAAACCGAGACTGCATTATTTTTAATTTTGCTGTGTTTGGCTCTCTTTAGGGATTCTGCTTTTCTCTATTCTATGCAAGAACGCTTAACGTTGATAGTTCTATTTTTACATGAAGTATTCATGATTTATTGCCATTAATGTTTCCACCAATGACAAATATATGTTTGATACATCGATGAATCATAAAAAGGTTGTAAACCGTAGAAAATAAAAGATACAAATATCAAGAAACTTTACTTAAATAGTATAATTCGCTTATTTGCAATATTGATTAATTAACACATCATATTTTATAAAAAAATGTTTCAGATATAGACGAGTGTAGTACATATACAAACATTTGTGGCCGTTCTGATAGACTATGTACCAATACTGATGGATCGTTTACCTGTTCATGTAACACTGGATATATACTTTATAATAATTCATGTACAGGTAAGTTATATACAAACTGACACATTAGCTTTTATTTAAAAATCAAATGACTTGTGGAATTAAAAGTAATGCAACGTGACATCTTTTTCTTGTTCTGAATCAACTTTACCCGCATTGGTTTCAGGCATAATTCCGGTTTCAATAAGAAGCATGAGATAAAACGTAATTACCAAAATATATTGCACCTTGAATAACTTATCATGAAATATGTTCATATATATTTATTGACAAACTTGTGCATAGGAGTAAGGTTTTTTATAGATATTGTTGCATTTTTATGATACATTATAAATGATAGACGATAACATTTTTATTCGTTTTACGAAACGCTGTTCCAAAGTAACTTTTCTTTGTGAACTACATTGTTAAATAAAAGCATACTAAAACATGAATTAGTTTAAGAAGTTCTAAGTTTTACCTTTAAATATTTAGTGGCACCAGAAACACCGAGAGGTTTTACAATAGACTATATCCAGCATAACAAGGCCCGATTATCGTGGTTACCTGGCAACAATGGAGGGTTGACACAAACGTTTGTTATACAGCTAGGAACTGGTGAAAGTTCTTGGGAAGATATAGAAGTCCAAGATGGAGTCAAACAAAATGATCAACCAATTTCCAAAATACTGACGGGTCTCATTGATTCTACAACATACTTCGTACGAATGTACGCATATAACAACGTTGGAAATAGTTCGCTTTCGGAAATTCTCAGTTTTACTACGTCACCTATCAAAGGTAAGCATCATGTAAAGCAACTGAGAAGAATATGAATATCAGGATGAAATTGTAGTTTGTAATCACATGATTCATTATATGCACTCTTCTATATAATTTGTTTTACGTCATTGAATTTGCCCATGCTATGTCACACATAAGACTACATACAGGTGCCTCCTCCACCAGTAAAGCTGGAACGTCGCGATATGACCTATACTGTGTCGATGTGACGTAAAACCCAAAACAAACAAAAACATACAGGTGAATGAAATAATGTTCAGATAAAAAAAATAGAAAAATAAATAAATAAGAAAACTCAATTTTCGTTTGGATAATTATATATACGTAATAGGATTAATCATGAGTGCCATTATACACCCAAATCTAGTGTTTGAGTGAGTTTGCCAATTGTTTCCAGACGGAGACAATCAATTTTATTAATTGGTTTTGTATACAGATATACTTGTGTCATCATTAGATACTTTTCAAGTTGGAATTTGTTTTCAAATATTTATTTTTCATAGTTGTGTCCCCTTTGAGTAGCCTTTTTAGCTCGACTTTTTTTTGAAAAAATGTAGAGGTATTGTTAAAGTTGCGGCGGCGTTGCCGTTGCTGTTGCCGATGCCGTTGCCGTTGCCGTTGCCATTGCCGTCCGCAAACTTGTACCTGGATAATTACTTTTTTATTTGTTGGTGTATTGTCTTCATACTTTGCCACAACAACCCTTGGGACAAGACCTTTCAGTACACCACACTAACCTTGACCTTCATCGATAAATGACCTTGACCTTCAAGGTTAAAAGTCCAAATTTTGCTTGTTCATGCTGTTATTGGCTGTTTGTTATTTTTGAATGGATTGTCTTCAAACTTGAACATATAATCTTCAAGGATATCCCTTAAAAATAACCAGACAGACCTTGACCTTCACTCATTAATGACCTTGACTTTGAAGGTCAAATTATTGAAATTTTCATTTTTTTGGCTATTATTGGCTGTACTTTTGTTATTTTTGAATGGATTGTCTTCAAACTTGAACATAATAATCTTCAAGGATAACTCTTAAAAATAATCCGACAGACGTTGACCATCACTAATTAATGACATTGTCTTTGAAGGTCAAATTATTGAAATTTTCATTGTTTTGACTGTAACTGACTGTAACTTTGCTATTATTGAAGGGATCAACTTCATATTATAACAGAACATTCTTAAGGACCAGACCTTGTTGTTTATCAAACCTAAATTTGTTTGGGCTCTTTAATGACCTTGACCTTGAAGGTTAAATTACTGAAATTTCTCAGATTTGTGCATTAAATGACCATAATTGTATATTTATTGGTGTGTGTGTGTGTGTGTGTATATATATAGATATCTATCATCATCATCATCATCATCATCATCAACAACAACAACATCATCAACAACGTGTATCTATTTAGAGAATGGCGCGTTTCTATTTTTAGAATTGCGTGTTTCTATTTTTAGAATTTCATGTTTTTATTTATAGAATTGCGTGTTTCTATTTATAGAATTGCGTGTTTCTATTTTTAGAAATTGCGTGTTAATATTTTTAGAATTGTTTGTTTCTATTTTTAGAATTGCGTGTTACTATTTATAGAATTATGTGTTACTATTTATAGAATTGCGTGTTACTATTTTTAGAATTGCATGTTTAATTTTTTAGAATTGCGTGTTTCTATTTTTAGAATAGCATGTTACTATTTATAGAATTACTTGTTTCTATTTTTAGAAATTGCGTGTTAATATTTTTAGAATTGCGTGTTACTTTTTATAGAATTGCGTGTTTCTATTTATAGAATTGCGTGTTTCTATTTTTTGAATTGCGTGTTTCTATTTTTAGAATTGCGTGTTACTATTTTTAGAATTGTTTGTTTCTATTTTTAGAATTGCGTGTTACTATTTATAGAATTACGTGTTACTATTTATAGAATTGCGTGTTTATATTTTTAGAATTGTGTGTTACTATTTATATAATTGCATGTTTCTATTTTAAGAATTGCGTGTTTCTATTTTTAGAATTGCGTGTTACTATTTTTAGTATTGCTTGTTTCTATTTTGAGAATTGCGTGTTACTATTTATAGAATTACGTGTTACTATTTATAGAATTGAGTGTTACTATTTTGAGAATTGCGTGTTTCTATTTTAAGAATTGAGTATTTCTATTTTTATAATTGCGTGTTACTATATATAGAATGACGTGTTCCTATTTTAGAAATTGTGTGTTACTATTTTTAGAATTGCGTGTTACTATTTATAGAATGGCGTGTTACTATTATTAGAATTGCTTGTTTCTATTTTTAGAATTGCGTGTTACTTTTTAAAGAATTACGTGTTTCTATTTTAAGAAATTGCATATTACTCTTTTTAGAATTGCGAGTTTCTAGTTTTAGAAATTGCTTGTTACTATTTAAAGAAATTGCGTGTACTTTTGAGAATTGCGTGGTACTTTTTTTAGAATTGCGTGTTTCTATTAATATAATTGAGTGTTTCTATTTTTAGAATTGCGTGTTTCTATTTATAGAATTGCGTGTTACTATTTATAGAATTGTGTGTTTCTATTTTTATAATTGCGTGTTTCTTTTTTTAGAATTGCATGTTTCTATTTATAGAAATTGCGTGCTACTATTTATAGAAATTGCGTGTTACTATTCTTAGAATAGCGTGTTACTATTTTGAGAATAGCGTGTTACTATTTTGAGAATTGCGTATTTCTATTTTTAGACTTCGGTGTTACTATTTATAGAATTGCGTGTTTCTATTTTTAGAATTGCGTGTTACTACTTTTAGAATTGCGTGTTACTATTTTTAGTATTACATGTTTCTTTTTAGAATTGCGTTTTCTATTGATAGAATTGCGTGTTACTATCCTTAGACTTGCGTGTTTCTATTTAAAGAATTGCGCGTTACTATTTATAGAATTGCATGTTGCTATTTATTTAATTGTGCTTTTATAGAATTGCGTGTTACTATTTATAGAATTGCGTGTTTTCTATTTATAGAATTGCGTGTTCTTATTTATAGAATTGCGTGTTTCTATTTATAGAATTGCGTCTTTCTATTTATTGAATTACATGTTACTATTTATAGAATTGCGTGTTTCTATTCATATATATATACAAAATAGATAAACACAAAACTAATGTGACAAGACAGACCGACTAAATTTATAAAAAGGAAACGGTAAGATATGTTCAAACCTTTCTTTGTTTGCTTTTAGAAAAAGTAAAAAGTCGAGCGTTGCCCCCGCACGGCGGTGGCTCTTGTTATAGTTGAAGCTGTTTTATGTCTGTTACAATGTGTAATCAAAATTGTTAACTAAAGGTTTATTTTCTTTCTGTAAGAGTTTGCTGACAATTTCACAAAATAATTACATTTAATCATTACAATGAATTTATTTTTCAGTTGAAACAGAAACTAAAACTACAACTACATTAATCGTGGGAATTGTCTTAAGTGTAGTGATAGTTGTGGTTATATCATATGCGATTTATGTAACAATCCAACTTAAAAGAACGCGAAACGCTGTCCAAAAGGATGGTAATTAGAGATTTCATATATTTGTTTATCAATGATGACTGTTTACTTAACATACCAGTCACATAGTTCTTTCCATTTTGGCCCCATCATTCATAACTTTGTAGCATTATATGTAATAAATATTTAATCTCAGTGTGTTTTTATGTTTAGTTTATACAGATTATTCCCCATAATAACTGTTGCATTACACTTTAAAAACTTTCGCACAAACTATTTCATCATATAACAAATGCTAGTAAAATTCAATGTGCTAGTTATATTTAGAAAGTCATAGATGAAAGTGTTGTAGCAATATGTTTTAATGATAACATTTACTATTCAGGTCGCGTGCAGAAAAAAGACGGTCAAGTGTAAGTGTATTTAAGAAATATTAATCTTATGATAAATGTAAAATGAATACGATTCGTGAACTTAAAATTAGTATTGTATCTAAAATACAAGATATGATTGTGCTAGTATGCTGAATTATAAGAATCTTCATTGAAATCGTATATGTGTACATGTATGAATGGTGCAATATGAGGTTCAATATTGGCAAGATCATGGTGAAATTTTCAAAATATTCAGATGAGAGAGTTGAAATGACATTACATATATTCAAATTTCATAACAAACACAAAGTCAACGCACATGCTAAATAATTAATGCGAAATTACGTGCTTCAAACTGAGGTATTTTACTAACATATAATTTGGAATAATATTGAAGATGTGGCCAGATGGCGCACCAGCCAAACCAGCAAAGGCGTTCAAGATCAACAGCCAGGGTGGGCATACATGCTAAAAGAATAACTGCTGACATCTTTGTTTTGCAAATTTAATGTTTGACGCATCATCACATTTATTGCGCATGGGTGTTGGATTTGTGTTTTAATAAACATAAATAAATGAAATATAATATCATGTCTCTCAACTACATTTACTGAAAATTCTAGGATCGGACATTATGAGACAATTTTACATGCCCACTAATAAGATTAGTAAACATTTTGAATGTATTTTAACATATAAAGAAACGTTTGCAAACATAAACACATGTATTTTCTAGTAAGATGTATGGGAAATTATCATGTAGTATTTTCATTTTGTTTAAAAGGAATATTCATATCGAAGACTCTACAAATATCCCTGATAGTGGAGGGTATGAAAATCCATATACTGACCTCAAGACAGAAATGAGGGATTCAAGATCTCCATACGAAGCCATATCAACTATGTAAAGAAACAATCGACAGAAATATTTCACTTAGATATAAAATTAACGCTCGTATATTTAAGTCGAACACAATATATTTTGTACATAAAGTGAAAAAGATAGCAATGTATTCAGCTAAAAGCTATCCTTTTTGTGTAAACATTTTGAATGAATTTAGTTGGAAAGGGTTTTTATTACAACTGTTTTGTTTTATTTCTAGAAAAGTTTAAATATATTCTATGCTCCTCTTTGGATAAAATAACTTTTAAAAAATCTGGAAAAGAGATAATCCCTCAGGTGCATTGAAAACAACAAGAAAATATGACAACGTTTGGCTCATTTGAAAGGATTTGTTCATTAAAGATAATGTAAAAGGTGGGAACATTTATCACGCCCTATAGTACCGGCTTAAGTGTTTCAATCTTAAGAATTAATGACCTCGATGGGCCAGAAAAATACAAAAAACATCACCTTATTCCTGCTGCTGATAATTTTTATTATTTATATGTGTTTGTTATTGCCAATAATCAGTGAATTATAATAAACCCTACCTAGAATAATTTAGTTTGGTACTAACTTTATTGCAAGTCATTGGTGTTGTGGTAAGATATTCGCTTAAGATGTGTGAAAAAAAATAGAGAAAATAAGATTCCCTACAAGGGACGGAACAAAATAAAATGGAATTTTGAAAGGGGATCAGAGGTTATGAAGCCTGCATATCACAGATAAGCCGTCGAAAGACAAATTTAAAAAACAGGCCACATATCCTAAGGGTGATTCAACAGTATTCAAGTGAGGGATACTGGAACCACCCAACAAGAAAATAGCCGAATAGAAATAACTAAATTACCACAAGCACAACACTAATGTCGTGCTGAACGATCTTTAAGGATCGGAAATATTATCTCTGATTGAATGTACGGGGCGACTTTTTACAGCCTCCACACGGCACAAAGAACGCTGACGTGGCGATAAAATAGAGAAAATAAGTATCTCTAAAGAAAGCCCAACACGGCATAATTGAAAATGTTGCAGGCTCGGTTTGCTTGAGCCTGTTTATGGACTGTACTGTTAAGTGCAAACTACCGTCCACACCCCTAGCACCGGCTTAAGCAGAATTCAACATTTAACATGAACTGGTACAATTTTGAATTTTGAAACATCCGCAGATGTGTTCATATGGCGTTTATCATGGAACCTTCAATGTGACACGTAAGTGCCATTCCATTAAAAGCGGCATATGGCCCCTAAGAAAAAAAAATGCAAGTGCCCTTAACGAGAAAACAATGGGCGGAACAAAATAAAATGGATTTTTGAATGGGGATCAGAGGTTATGAAGCCTGCATATCACAGATAAGACGTCAAAAGACAAATTTAAGAAGCAGGCCACATATCCTTAGGGTGATTCAACGGTATTCAAGTGAGGAATACTGGAACCAACCAACAAGAAAATAGCCGAATAGAAAGAACTAATTTAAAATTACCACAATCACAACAATAATGTCGTGCTGAACGATCTTTAAGGATCGGAAATAGAAGGGCTTGAATCCCGATGTTTGTAACTGAAAAAATGGTTGTGTCCTTTTAGTAACATGGATTTTTTCTCTCAAACATTTAGGCAAGATATGCAATGTAAGATTAAAATGTGAAGAAATGAACATATTATGATATTTAAATGCAAGTTATAAACTCTTTTATTATATACTTATAAATTAAATATTGAGAAATATTGATAAAATAAAAAAACGTATTTTCATTTTCCGTATTTTCACTGTAAAATTTTTTTTTTCACTGCAGTGAACATATTGTCTGTATTTTTACTGTTGTCTTGTCGGGCTACTTTCTGGTATATTCAGCCAATATACAAAATTTAATGGAAAGTCTTTCAAATTTTGATGTTAAAAAAAGAGAAAAATGAGATATAATAAACAGAAAATTCAATTTGTTTCTACAAATACAGGATTTGTTTTCATCTTGTGGTATGAAAATTATCATATTACACTCGTGGCTACCACCACTTATGAAATATTTATTTTCATACCACTCAATGGAAATAAATACTGTATTTACAGAAAAAAGTTGAATATCCTGTATATACTCGTATACTCGTATCAAAGAAAGATTAAAATGTTTAGAAAGAACATAAATGATATTCAAATGCAAGTTATAAACTCTTATACTCGTATATCTCTAATGATGCTTTGATTGTAGATTCCTTAACATGAACGCCTGTTTTACTTGCTGGAACAGATATGCCACATCTGTTTCCGTCGGTAACACCAGCAAGGTTTTATATATCATTTTGTACAGTAGTACATTATGGCTATCGTTTGAAGCACTGCATGAAATATTTGTCTTGTAAGGTACTGGATCTGGCTTATATAAAACGTGCACTATTTTAAGGTAATATTAAGAAATTAACTGACATTAACTGATATTTCTAATAACAATATGATGACAAATCCCATTTAATGTCAAATATTTAAGTATAACTTTTGTTAAGCTTTTTGATGCTTTTATGAAGAACTAAGGTAATGGCTCACATATTTATAAGGTATGTGGGTCATTTATCACGCACAAACACAGTGTGTTTGCACTTAAACATTCCATCATTTATTTCGTACACCTGTATATGTCACCGCAATGTATCCTTGCACAAGCTTTAAAAAGTGCTGGTATGACAAAACATACGAGTTTTTAATATAAAAGAAGTTTAGTTAAGACTACCTTTCTGTCTTTATATCTGCAGTTCCCCGGACTTCATGATGAGCCATATAGACAGGTATCATCTTAATGGTGATATTATAAGGTTTTGTAAGTGTTGAGATTATTTGTATAGTGCTGTACGGATTCAAAAAATTAATTGACGCCTTTTATATAGTAAAGCGAGGTCACGCGTGTGCTTTTTTTTATTTTGGTTAGATTTGGTAACGGGTCTGATGACTTTTATGTCTTATACATGTAAACTATGTTATGCTCAAATTGATTTTTTTGTTAGTCCTATTTTTTAGAAAAGTTTAGATATCGTTTAATTAGGATAACACTAATAATTACCTAGGCATAAGGGACAACCATTACGGTCAACTCAGCTCTGTCTATATATGAATACAATTCTGGAAACAAAAGTGATCCCTCGGAAGCATTAATCACAACAAAATTACAAGAGAATTGCAGACTCAGTTTGAATTGAGTCCTGTACAAGACATATGGTGACGGATTCTTGGCACAATACGACATTGGCTAAAGGGTACCCGTTATGTCAATGTTTAAAACGAGTAATACTAGTAAGACGTCATAAAATTTACATATCGTAATGCTTCTCCTTTAATTTCAAAAACTGCACAGAAGTATGCAGTGCACAGCCGACAAAATTCCTTTGCAGCTATTTTACGCGTGCGTATAATCTCGCTTGTATCATAGTTTGGGGACCTTTCTGTTGAAAATTGAGTCTGTACAAGACATATGGTGACGGATTCTTGGCACAATACGACATTGGCTAAAGGGTACCCGTTATGTCACTGTTTAAAACGAGTAATACTAGTAAGACGTCATAAAATTTACATATCGTAATGCTTCTCCTTTAATTTCAGAAACTGCACAGAAGTATGCAGTGCACAGCCGACAAAATTCCTTTGCAGCTATTTTACGCGTGCGTATCACCTAGCTTGTATCATAGTTTGGGGACGTTTCTGTTGAAAATTGTCAGAGTTAAATCGTTAACATATACATGCACAGTGCGTTAACTGGAGTGCAGGTATTAGTTACCCGCACTCCATAGCATGCCCATTGATTGGCTCATTTTTGCTGGGGTTTACTTATTGTGATGGCAGAGAAAGGGAAAGCGACAGAAATATCATATTCAGATGCTCGTTAATTGGTTCATTTCTTCTGGGGTTTTATATTGTGAAACATGGAACGTGTTTTTATGTTTGACTATGATACAAAAGAGAAAGAGCATCAAAACACTCGGCAATCTGATTAATACTCGGGGGGCTACGCCCCCTCGTACAAATCAGATAGCCTCGTGTTTCGATGCTCTTTCTATTACTTATCATCCAAGTTCATAGATTAAAACTCCTCGATAGAAAATGGGTCAGACTTAAACCTCTCTAATTGCCTTTTATATGCGTTTGTCGGTTTGTATTGTGTTAAGTATTCTTTCTCAGTTTACACCAAAGAAATACTCTGTTATGTTGTTACACAAACTTATCTTTTTTATATTCTTAGTTATATTTCCAAGTCAGGGGTACTAGTTTAATTTGAGGATTATTTCTCCAATTACTTGAACACCAATAGATTAGTCATACACAACGGCATTTTTTTATTTTGTTGACTAATACGTTGTTGTGAAATTCATATTGTAATTCACTAATCTAGTAATTTGGATTAGACAGATAATGGTCATTTTCAAGCAATTTTGCAGTAAAACTTTCCTCGTGCGTCTTTGAGACAGACTGGTAATATGAAATAGAAATATATCCAACGAGTTGTCTGCAGTTTTCCAGTACAGAAAGCCATTTAATAATTTGTAGGAGTGTGATACATATTTTGATTTATGATTCTTAATTATCATTTAAATGATTCAAGGGAGACAGCTCCAGTAATTATCTTATGTATTCATCAGTTTTAATGAGATATAACATTTGAGACGAGGGAACATGATCATTTAGCCTAGGTTATAATGATTCCGTTACTGTCATGTAGTAGTGGCTTAAAGCAGACTGGTTCCCTTACAGAAAATCATTAATTTTTAACAAATCCCTTGTTAGTTGTTACCACTACACACACGAAAACATCAGCAGTTAAGTTTATTTACAATTAATTCATTTATGTTTAGTTGTGTAGGAATCTATAAACTTATTGGCATGAATCCGTTCCACTGATCAATGGCGGGATCGGACCCATGCATCTAACAATTCACCTAATTGGATACACACTTTGCTATATTTTACATAGTTCGTGATCACTTTGAAATAGTTCATGCTTCCATTTTTCACATGTATTATTAAATTGTCAGGAAGCCGA